GAAAGAGAGGGACATTTACTCTGCCTGCTTGAGACAAAGGAAACCCTCCTGAGTCATTCCCAGTTCCCCCGAAACCAGTGTGTCAGAGCAGAGTCGGAAGCATCGGCTGTTACTAAGGACACTGGCGAATCAGCTGTGAAGATGCCACGTTTTCCCTGTTCGTCCCATCTCCTGAATTTCACTGCATTCGACCCTGGCCCCAACCCGGCTGTACAGAGCACCTGCCCACGGCACTCACACCCATAACACAGCGCACAGTCCTGCTTCACAAAGCTACTGCGGGGATGGCATCTCCCAGTTTCGTTGCCTCTTCACTGCTCTGCGGGGTGGCGCGTCTGACTGCCTGGCTGCGTCGCACAGGCGAGACAAGGCACCACCAGCACAGCAGCTCAGTTTTTAGAGGCCTCTTTGCAATGCCCAGGGCCTTCGGGGGGTTTGCAATAGGCACAACACATCGGCCCTCATGAACAGCTCCGACGACGCACAAGACCTGAGCACAGTTTGGTCCTAGGCATTTCACGGCTCCTCTTCCCTGGGCTCGGGGATGGGCAGAGAGCGGCTGCAGCCCCTGCAACAATCGAGTCCAAGGGGCGATGATACAAGAGGCATTTACAGGACAGCAAAGAGAGGCTCCCCCTGCCTAGTGGCGACTGCACAAACCGGTGCTCGGACACACTGGGAGACCGAGAAGGGAAGGGGAACAACTGATGGCTGCAGCCACTGAGACGAGGCCTTGTCCAGGTAACCATCCCCTTCCCAGATCACCGCCTCTTTCCGTGTGCATAACAGAGGGGGGTCTGTTCCCTCTGCTGTGCCAACGGGGCAGTGTTGCTCAGGCCTCCAAGGGCCCGTTCCACGGTGTCCTGGGCATGCCTTGAGGTCTCTGCACAGACATCCTTCTCGGGAAAGCAGCATTAGCGCTCTACTTGCTCCCCATGCGCGAGCAGGGCTGCTACGGCCTACGCAGGAAACAGAACTGCAGTGAAGAATAGGCAGGTTTTGAAGCCCGTGCAGGCGTGCTCACCACAGCCAGTTACTCACTTCCTCTGAGACCTGGTTTTGAGTCACGATGCCCCGTACCCACCTCCCCCAGACCTGCCTGCGTGCAAATACCGGCTGGCTCGGCCCTGAGCTCTGTCCTATGGGCTGGATGCGTGCAGAAGGCAGAGAGAAGCACCCGCAGCCCGCTGGTCAGGAGCAGCTGAGGGGATGAGATACCAGCACGACCCAGGGACCAGGCTAATGCCTGGTGGCTTTATTGAATGTCCTTTCCGGTGACAGGGGGAGGAGGAAACCCCCTGTGACGGCAGAGGAGCGACAGAGAACCAGGGTAAGAAACAACCCAAGCAAAGTCAGTCTGGAAAATACAGCGAAGAGGAAAGGACCTGAGACACCGGCGCCAAGGACAAGGGAGGAAACATAAACACGGGGAGCAGCTGGCAGGCTGGGAACCCTCTTAGCTGGGGAAGAGCTCTGAGCGCAAGGTCGGGCGCACTAGACGCATGCAGGGACTTCTCCCCAGCAGGCCCCGAGCCGCTCCTGGGTTTCTGCTCCTACCACGAGCAGGATGTGGATAAGCACCAAGAGTGACCCGTGGTCTGGAAGGACCAGGACTGGGTAAGGGCCCAGCTCTCTGGCTCAATGCCGGGGATGCAGAGCCCTCTGGCCTGGTGCTGAGCTGGCCCTCAGCAGCAGCAGTCGAAGCAAGTCTTGGAGACGCACTGCAGCAGACCCCAGTACTGCTCGGAGCTGGAGACTCCGGCCCTCACGAGGGGCAGGGCAGAACCGCTGACTGGGAGCTGGACACGGGGCCCAGAGCCCTCGTGCGCACAGCAGGGAGCTCGCCCCTGCCAGGGCCCAGCTAAGGTGGTGTGTGGACCCCGCCAGCTGTCCTGTGTCTCCCCGGTGTCGTGGCTCCTGCTGCCTGGCGGGGGAGTGGAGACACCCGCATGCCTCGGATATATCCTGGGGACGGGCAGGCCCTTGCTGTGGTGCAGACAAGGGCACAGAGCAATTCAGATGTCTCGCCGTGGCTCCACGCTCCCACCAAAGGCTGCCTGCGAGACTCAGCTATCCACAGGGCTGTGGCCATGTGGGCTGGGGAGTCCAAGGTGGCCAAGAGCGCTGTGATGACCACCGACCCAGACTCCTTGACCTCTGCTGCCTGCTTCAGCCTCTCCACGCTCAAATCGGCCCTTCAACCTGCCTGTGCCTCCCTGCTCCTCAGAGCAGCTCTCAACCCCACCTCTCCCTCACCGCTCTGCCTCCGTGGCCCGGCTCTCTTCTCCGGACACAACTTCCCACCACGCGGGCTGCACGGGGCCTGTTGTAGGATCACTCACCCAGGCTGGGCGCTGGGAACATCTGCTCCTCCTCCAGGGTCTCCTGGCTCTCGGCGTGCAGCTCTTCTTCTTGCTTCATGCTGGACCCAAAGGTCGACTCCGACACCACGTACTCTGCTCAGGGAAGAAGAAAGCCAGCAGCCAAGTCAGCTTGTGTCTGGGATCCCTGGGCTGAGCTGCTTTGACCCACGAGCTGTCTGCCAGCTCCTCTTCTAGCCAGGAGGGCTGTAAAGCAGGGCTCTCCATTCACCCTTGCCATACAGAGCTCCATGATGGCCTCTTTCCTGCAGGGTCCCCAGACGCATGCTGCATCACTCACCAATCCTGGGCCCGGCGGGGGCATCTCTCTGCTCCGAGCTCTCCGGTCCCTGGATGCACAGACCCCTGTTCTCCTCGCTTCCACAGGCCACATCTGGTGCAAATCCTAGTGCTTCTGTTCAAGGGA